AGCCTGAGAAGAGCTAATCAGACCTTGGCAGGGAAGCCGCACTTCCTGATGCCCTCCCCACACAGCTCCCACCCCCAGCGTCCGGACCCGCCCCCGCTGGCTCCCCAGCCCAGTGGGCTCAAGGATTCAGAAGGGCCCATTCCCACAGTCCCCAACAGCTCCAGAGCCACCCCTCCCTGCCCATCCTAGACATCCCCAGTGCCACATGGGCACCAAGAGGACTCAGGGGGCTGCCCCTGAACAGTCCCCAGCCAGGTCCCCGGCCCAGAGCCTTGGTGAGAGAAGAACCTGCACTATGCAGGTGAGGAAACGAGGGTGGGGACAGGAGGGACGGGGCCAAGATCGTTCCATTTCTCCCCTCCACTTCTGCTTTTATTCTGGAACTTCTCTGAGTAGTTCTGGGGAGAAAAACAGAAGGGATCAGGTAGGGAGAAGTCACCTGCCCAAAGTCAAGACATCTGCGTTTTTCTCCCAGCTTAGATGACCTGTCTGGTCTTTCTGGCCTCCTTTTCCCCATCGTGACAAGAAAAGGTCTGGACAGGCCAGGAATGACAAGCTCAGGGCACACACACCACACGTCCCACCCTGTGCCCACGGCAGACATTACTAATCCATCCCAGGGCTCCTTCCCAGGAAGCCAGAATGGGCCTCGGGGTCTGTGGGACTGGAGGCCCAGTTTAGAGCAGGACTGGATGAGATCTGAGCCTGAAGAGGGAAAGGAAGCGGACAGACAGATGTGAGGGCCCCTGGGCGCTCAGCGACTGAAGCACGTTCGCAGATGGAGGAGGCTCAAGTCACTAAGTGACACGACTCTGGACTCAAGCTGAGATGAGGCCCTGAACACGGAGGCCTCTGCCTATCTCCCTCCAGGGAACGGCGACACAGACCAGCCGCCAGGCGCAGTGGACAGTCCGCCACCCTGCCCTTGGCCCTAATAGGTGCCGGCCCTGCTCCCACTGGGCGGCTTCAGGAACAGTGGGCTCCAGCAAGGCTGATGCCAGGAGCCCGGCCGCGCAGCCCCAGCCCTGCTTCCTAAGCACCTGATTTGCAGCAAGGACTTGCTACTGTCCTCTTGGGACATCCTGGAACCATGAGTCACCAGCCCTCTTCTTGGATGGGGACACTGAGGCCCCTTTGGAGGAAGTGCCCCCAGGAGCTCCAGTGGACACCACAGTGGATTCCCAGGGAGACAGGGCGGGCAGCACAGGGGAGGCCAGGCGCTGTGGGAGCCCAGAGAGCGGGAGCAAGGCCACAGAGGCGGGAGCTGCAGCCTGGCCCAAGGCCCACAGCGGGGCACTGAGGGCCGCTGCAGTGGCTTTACAGCCCACAAGGACCGGGGGGCCCTGGGTAGTGCCAGGCCTTGGGATAGGGGCCCAGAGCCCCACCCTGGGACACCCTTCTCCAGCCAGGTCTTAGTATTTACCTCTGGAAAATGTAGCCGATCACCTACGGCAGGCTTTCAGGAGGCTCAGCTGGACTAGGCTCATGGCACTGTCCCCAGTTCAGCCTTCTCGTGCACAGAGAAGGCCCAGAGAGGGCAGGGTGGAGCTCAGGGTCACCCAGCACATTGGTGACCTTAGCTGCCAACATCCTCTCCTAGATCAACCTTGCCCAACTGGCACCTTCAGACTCAATGAGATCATCCACTCAAGGCCTTGACCACGCAGCTGGCAAGGCCATACCAGAGATGCCAACTGACCTGCCCAATGTAACAAAATAAGTCCCATTTTCTGAATATCAACTGATGCCAGGCAACTAGGCACAGAGCCCTCCTTTAACCCTAATCTGAAAGGGAGACGCCAATTGCCCCATTTTCAAGATGAATAAATAATCTCAGAAAGACACAATGAGCCAGGCTCAGTGGTACACGCCTGTAATCCAGTGTCTCGGGAGACCGAGGCAGGAGGTCACTAGTTCAAAGTCAGCCTCAGCAACTTAGCAAGGCCCTAAGCAATTCAGCGAGACCCTATCTCTAAATAAAACATAAAAAGGGCTGGGGGTGTGGCTCAGTGGTTGAGTGTCCCTGGGTTCAATCCCCAGCACCAAAAAAAAGAAAGATACAATGAATGACTCAGACACACAGCAAGAACGGTCAGAACTTGAACCCAGGCCCACCTGATTTGAAGCCCTTACCATACCTCTGGCCTCCATCTCTCCGGCTGACCGTCCCTATTTCTCTCCTCATTCCCAGCTTCCAGCCACCCTAAATTATACTCCCTAATCCTTGGCCCTCACCTTCTCAAGCCCTCCTGCTCTTGAACTCCTATTCTGCCTTCAAAGCCCAGCCTCACATGCCTCTTCCTCTTGAGACCTGATTAGCCCCCATACAACACTGGAGTCCAGTTACACATCTATTTCCCTCAGGTACCTTGGTCAGCTCTGCACTCCTGGCCTCCAGTGTGAGGCCGTTCACTGTGAGGGATATCCATCTGCACCCTGCGTAAAGATAGAGGCCAAACTCCTCCCCAGGCCTCGGGGCCTCTCTACAGGTTGCAGCCCTGCTGATAACTGGCCTCACTTCACTTCTCACATACTGACTTCATTCCCTGGGCTCCAGCCCCGCAGGCTTTCCCCAGTTTCTTCTCCACAACAGTGCACACTCTGCCACCTCAGGACCTTGGCACGTGCACTTCCCTCCACCTGGCAAGCCCTTCCCTGAGCTTCTACCTGACGACTTCTGCATGCCTCCTTCAAGACTCCTCTGTACCCCAGGCCTCCGTCTGAACCTCTGCGCTTCAGGGATTATGCACTCATTGATCTGGCAGCCTGTTTGCTACTTGGCTTACTCTCCAGATTCTAACTTCTGGGAGGCCAGGGACTTTTCATAAGTCCCCAGCAAGTACCTACCGCACTAGCCACTGCTCACAACCCAAAGGGGCCCACGAAGTGGCCGATCAGGAGGGAAGAAAGAGCCCCACTCCAGTCTTTGAGGCCGAACTGCTGCTCCCCCAGCTCTGGATCACCTCCGGTCTAACTACCTGCCCTGCTAACCCGCCACGGCTCGGCTGGGTTCAGTGCACACAGTCCATAGTAGATGCTCAATGCAGGGTCTGGATACTTGTATCTCAGCAGGTTTGAGGACACGAAGTCAGCTGAGAGCAGGAGGATGAGGAGGAGAGGGTGTGTCAGCAGGCCACTGAGCCACGTCCTCCTGGATGTCCCCACCTCCACCCCACCCCCAAGGGGTAATCTAGGGGGAAGCTAAGGCAGGAGCCAGCCTGGGTGCTGGGGATAACTCATGGCCCTGGGAGAGGCCAGGGGACAGAAGGAGGACATCGTGGGGCTCCCGGGAGAGGGGACCTCAGTTATCCTGGAAAGTCAAGAGCGGAGGCCGGCCACAGCAGGAGGGCACGTCTGGCAGGGTGCCCTGAGGCCGGGGGTGCACCAGGCCAAGGCAGGCAGTCAGCTGAGAGAAGTGACACACTCCAGTCACTTCCCGGTGGAAAGACCGCATCACCAGGGCCCAGGCACACCACATCTCCAGGGCAGCCTCGTGGCTGCCATCAGTCACCAGAAGTGGAGTCTCCCCATGACTGTCCTGTGCCTGTCCCATGCTGGCAACCATGACCACCACTGGAGGCGTTCAAGGGCAGCTGGCCTGGGGTCTCTGAGGCTCTGATTCCAGCCTCAGACTCCATGGCCTTGGTCCTCAGGTCCCCATCAGTAAAATGAAGATAAGCAAGAGCCCCAACCCTAAAAGGTGTTGAGCAGACGCCAGCGACAGCTGCTATTTTCCCATTCTACAGCTTACAAAACCGAGGCCAGCGGGGTCTGACCTAACGTCCACGGCTGTGGTGGCAGATGGAGCCAGGGCTATTTCTTCCTGGGGTTCTGGGATACCTTGAGAGGCACCCACCGTCTCCTTCTGGAGGTCCGCTCCATGGCAGCCAGCAAGCGCCCCTCCTCCCCTCTCAGGCAGCTCATCCCACTGCTGGACCTGTCTATTGAGCACCTACTACATGCCAATCCACAGATGCAGAAGCACAAAGACTCCTGGTGGAGGACCCCCACTTCACACATGGGTGCTCAGTGGGCCAGGCCCTCAGCCTCAGTCACCCAGCAACACAAGTTTAGGTATCTTGACTCCCCAGCCAGGGGCTGAGAAAGGGGTCAGCAACAGGGCCAGGCTGGCCCACCCCTGAAACCAAGTGTGAGCACAACTGTCACCCCAGGTGACCCCGAGACCACTGCCCCAACTGGACAGCATCCACGAGGTACAGCAAGCCTTGTTCAGGGCCCCACAAGCACTCTGCCCACTCTCAAGTGTGCCTGAAAGCAAGGGGTGGGGGCGGAACAGCACCCTGCAGGTGAGCCCCTTCCATCAGCACCACCCTTCCATCAGCCCAGCAGTCCCCCAGGCCCATCACCACTGACAGGGACTCCAGCTCAGAGAGGGCAGACGGTTGTCTGAAGACACACAGCACGGCAAGTGGTGGCCCCGGAGGGGCCTCAAGCTCACCCCAGCCCCTTCCCAGGTAGGCAAGTGGACCCGGCCTAGTGGCGAAACCCCAAAACTTTTGCCAACTTCTGAGCCGGCCGGTCCTGGGCCTGCTCGGAAGCGGGCAGGGGGCCGTGAGGACCAGGCGCAGTCAGGCTCGGTCCCTTCCAGCCGGCAGCAGCAGGCCCACCCGAGGCCCCACGAGGACTCGGAGGTCCCGGCGGCCCGGGCCCGCGCCTCCGCCCCGCCGCCCCCGGGGCGCCCTGCCTCCGCCGCCCCCAGTCCGCTCGCGGGGCCCAGGGCGCGGGGCCGGGGCTCGGGGCCGGAGCCCGGGCAGCCGCGGCCGCAGGCGGCGCCGATGGGCTCGGATTCCGGGTCTGGCCTGGACCTGGCCGGGGGCTGCGCCCGCCGGCCGCCTCCCGGGTCGGGGGTCCCCGCCCAGCCCCCTCCGCGCCGCATCACAACAAAAGGCCGCGCCCGCAGGTCCGCCGCTCCCGGGGCGAGGGGCCAGGCGCGGCGGGCGGGGCCGGGGTCTCGCGCGGGCCGGGCGGGGGGCGCTCACCTGGGCCGCGGCGCGCGGCGACAGCGCACGGAGGGCGCAGCCCGCGCGGCCGGCGGGTCGGCAGACGGCGGCCTGGCCGCTCCGGCTCCCGGGCCGGAATGGATTCCGGGCCGGGAGAGACGGAGCGAGAGAAAGGGAGGAGGCGGCGGCGGCCCCCGCGGGGAGGAGGGAGGAGCGCGGGAGCCGCGGGAGGAGGGGCGGCGGCCGGCGAGCAGGAGGAAGCGCGCCGCCGTGCCCGCCGCTGACCTGCCGCGGACCCCGCGCCCCAGCCAGGGGTCCGGCGGGCGGGGCCCGGGCCCAGGAGCCCCGCCCCGCCCCGCCCCGCCCCCGGCTGTCCTCGGCCAAAAGGCCCTGGGCCCGGCCGCCCACCCAATCCGCCTGCCCGCAGTCAGCACCCTGCTTCTGGCCAGGAGCCCTGCTGGGTGGCTCTGGCCCATTTCAGGATTTGAGCCGCACAACTACCTGGGCTGGGTGGCCCAGGATCAGTCCCATTTTACGGGTGAGGAAACTGAGGCGCTGCCAAGAGCGGGCCTTGACTTTGGCCTTGACCGAGTTTCTTGAAGTCGGGACTGGGTCAGGAGGGGCAGGGTGGGAAAGAGCAAGTTTCATCACTGTTCATTTTAAGTGCATAAGAAAATGTACATAAATATACAACTGGCAGCCCGTGGGGAGTCGGAGAGTCAGTCTGCAGACCGCTGGCGGTTTTGCTGAGGAGGGGGCTGAGGCCGGTGTTTCGGTAGCTTCCAAGTCAATGAAGAGGCTCAGTACTTCTGGACCCAGTGGGGCAGGAAGTATAGCAAGAAATAGGGATGCGGAGGAAACCCAGCTTTCCCCATGAAGACTGTGCACCATCTCCTGACCCTGGTGCAGGGCTGCCCTATTTGGGGGTGGGCACCCCACCCTTGGCTCCTCACCTATCCTCCTGGAATCATGGACCAGGGATCTGGTTTAAATGACCACCACCTGTCTCCTTTCCATTTCACTTCCCCAGGTTGGGAAGCTAGGCCCTGCCAGGTCAGAGTAGCACCCGGCCTGGGCTTCCCTGGACAGAGGTCCCTGTGGAGAGGATCTGGGAGGGGCATCCTCCGAAGTGAGAGACCGAGGCCTCAGGGTGCAGCAGAGCTTCCCGGAGAGCAGGAATGAGCAGGAGCTGGAGCCTGACTGGTCTGGGTTCACAAGCAGGCTAGTCACCACCTGCCGGGCCTGGACAGGTCCACCCACTTCCCCGGCCCAGTCCCCTCTCCCATCAAACAGGAAAGAACATTGAAGAATATGGATTTCACGTGCTTTCAAACATGGCCACCAAAAAAAAAAAAAAAAAAAAAAATCCTGGGAAAGCTAAATTAACAAGTGTCCATGAAGGTGGCCAGGTTTGTGCCCAAAGAATAGAGCCTTGTGTGGAAATAAACTGAGCCCAGAGGGGAAAGGGGCTGCTCAAGATTTCTCCACGAAGATTAGCAACACAGCCAACTCCGTGGGCCAGGCCAGGCTGCTGAAATGGCTGCACTTGTTTGCAAGGCTGGCTTAAAGATTAACCGCAGCTTCCCAGGACCCAGGTGGGCCCCTGGCTAGAGGAGCAGGTTTCTCAGCCCTCATTCACTCCTGAGACATCTAATGGCCTTTCCTGGCCACATGGACTGGGGTGGGGGTGGATATGTTCCGTTGATGAGCCGGAGCTGACTCTCACCAACTTGCAAGAGCTGATTGTGTTCTTCCCAATGCCATATTCAGTGATGTCACATGGGTAGCTTGACATCAGCCAGGGAGGGATCATTTATACCTTGGAAATCAGCAAAGGCTACAAATCAAGCCTTTGTTTTTCTTTCAGAGAACGGGTTGTTAAATATTTGCCAGCATATCAGTAGCTTCATCCCCAGACATTCAACAGAAAGTTCTGGACTTTTCTAGAGTTAGGATAATAGAGAACTTAAAAACACAGACTTTGAACCCACAGACCTGGGTTCAAGTCTCAACTCTGCCACTCCCTGGATGTGTGACTTGGAGCACGCAGTTCTCTGAGTCTTGGTATGCCCCCACCTGTGAAATGGGCCAAGACAGCAGATCCCCTTGAGGGCTCACGTGAGGAGGAGGTAAGGCGGTGGGCATTTAGCAGTTCTCACTGTTCGTGGTCCTGCCCATTCATAGAAGAGGGCACCGTGGACATGCATCTGCAGGACAGATGGAGCCTACCACCTGGAGCCTCTGCCAACTTGGAGGGCCCTGCGCAGTGGCTGAGGTTCTCAGAGGATGTGGCCAGTACAATGGTTTCATTATCGAGCAGTGGAAGTACTCTTTATTTTTAACCACCCCTCTGGGCCTCTGCTTAGGCTGTAACCCCCACCAAGAATGCCCGCCCCAGTGGCCAGCTTCCCACCCTCCTCATCCTTGAGGTCCTGAGTAAATGCCACCCCTGCTAGGACATGTTTCCTGACACACCCTGGTCCCAAGTCCACTCCGGGTGTGTCTGTCCCCACCCTGAGAGCAGAGACCATGGCCTGGCTCATGCCCAGCAGAATAGGCACTGACCAGGGAGCGAGAACTGACTCAAGATCCGCAGCCAAAAGTTCAAAATCGAATTCTTCCCTTCACTGATGTGGGACCCTGCCTTCTCGGGCCTCAGTTTACTCATCAGTAAAATGGAGTTAGGAATCCCACCCACCTTCCAGGATTATGCGCAGGAGACACTTGCTGGTCTAGCCTGGGGGCAAGTGGTTCTGTGTGCCTTATTTTACTTAAAACATTTTTTTTTTTAAGTAAAGCAGCAACTCATTGCTTAATACCTAAAAATCATTCAACATTTTTAATGAGCAGGACTGGCCCTGGAACACCACCAGGAACTATCTCCCAACTCAAAGTACTAGCAGATGTTAGATGCTATTTATGTATATATGTATGCATTTGAAAATGGGGATCTTGCTGTGTTGCCCAAGCCTGTCTTGAACTCCTGACTCAGGCAATCCTCCTGCCTCAGCCTCCCAAGTAGCTGGGACTAGCTGGGTGTGGAGACACACACCTGTAATCCTAGCAACTCCAGAGGCTGAGGCAGGAGGATCACAAGTTTGAGACCAGCCTCAGCAGTTTAGCAAAGCCTAAGCAACTTAGTAAGACTTTGCTTCAAAATGAAAAATAAAAAGGCTAGGAATGTGGTTCAGTGGTTGAGCATCCCTGGTTTCAATCCCCAATACCAAAAAAGACAAAAACAAAAACCAAGAGGCTGGGACTGCAGGCACACATGCCACTGAGCCTCACTTTGGTGGATGCTATTGAAGTCAGCCTTGTGGAGACGGAGAGCAGTGGGCATTCACAGTCCTCTGTCTATGGACTCCTCCTCCCTCTACCTGAGTAAACCATAGCTGAGAGCAGGAAGGAGCGGGTGGGAGAGGCCTGGCCCCTCACAACTAGCAGTGACTCCATGGACCACAGCTGTCCCATGGCAGGGGATCAGGAGCCCTGCCCACACCTCATCCAGGGCCCTGGTAGCCCTGGCTCGGTGATGGCCTACCTGCCTTGCCCAGCCCCGGCTCACCCTTGGAGCAGTGACTGAGAAGCCAGACCCTTCAGGCACTCTGGGGACCTCCGGCCCACCCTGCATTCCCATGCTGAGTGGGTTCAGCACCACCCCCCCACCACCACCACTGCACTTCACAGTGTGTAGAGATGTCTGGATGGGGTCCAAGCCAACTGCTCAGACCCCCCCTTGCAGGCCCTCATCCCCTTCCCTGCCCACCTCCTGCTACAGGACCCTCCCTGAGGCCTTGGTGCTAGCTGCTGTCTGCCTGGACTATTCCTCCAGCTAGTTCTTGGCTAAGCCTTACTCCTCCTCCCTCCCCTCAGCTGAATTTTACTGAGCATCTACTAGGTGCTGGGGTCTGGGCCAGGTGCTATCAGCAGTGAGCCAGCCAAGCCTGGTCTCTGAGTTGGAGGAAAACAAAGGCCTAGAGGGGCCCAGGACAGGGGCCCCTAACCTAGCATGTGTGGGGGTGTAGAAGCCTACAGAGGTGTCCAGGTGCAAGTGGGCCAGGGCAGGGATGCAGGCAACAGAGCCCAGGTGGCGGGAGTGCTGGGGGTAGGAGGAGGAGGGAGGGTGAATAGGCAGCCCCAGGGCCTTAGGCCTCTCCTGTGGCCTGAGGGGATGCCAACACCAGCAAGTACAAAGACCTCTCCTTGGCTTCTGTCCTAGTAGCAGTGGGGAGCCACGGAGGGTGGTGGGACAAATGGGAGGGGTGGAGAACAGGACGGGCTGGGGGGACAGGGAGGCCTGTGCTGATGGCTGCCCCTCCTAGAGGGGTCCAGCTGCTGGGGGGGTGGAGTTCTGGCTTGCAGGGGTGGGCCTGTGTGCACGGCACAGATGGTGTTCAGAGAGCACAACCAAGCCACCCGAAGGCCTATACCCCAAGGCGCTGGAGAAGCGTCCCCAACATCATAAGAGCCAGGCGCAGGTGAGCTTGTGCTCCCTCAGAGGCCCGCCACCACCAGGAGGGGCAGCCAGGCACCGGCAGCTCCCCTAGCATCCACCCTCCTGCTGAGGAAGGGCTGGGACGGCCACACCTGGGCAGACAGAGCTGAGTGATGACGCACCTGGCACTGCCACCGGTACCGCCCCAGTGTTCAAACCCTCACAGCCTCACGTGGGGCCCTGGGGCGCTGGGGCCATTCACAGGCAGGAAGTCCGAGGCCCAAATGTGGCCTTGCACAGCGCAGAGTCTGGAGACCAACAGGGTCAAACGCAGGAAAGACTGCAGGGCCACAGGAGAGGCCCAGACAGGGTCACACACCCTCCCAGGCTACAAAATGTCACTGGATCACTGTCGGGCAGGGCCACACCCTCAGCCCAGAGCAGGCATCCTTCCACCCCGTTCCAGAATGCCTGTGAGAAAAGATGAAAGGAGTCAGGGCCCTTGATCTGCACACCCCCATAGAAGGGCAGAGGATGGGCCGGAAACCTGCAGCAGAGCTGGGAGCCCTCGGGTCAGAGGGGCTTGGAAACCTGCTGGGCAGAGGACACTTCACACAGGAGGACTTT